AACTAACTTAGATGTCGTTCTTCTCGACCTTCCATGTTTAGAGCCTCATCATTTTGAACAATTAAGTGTGGCTCTCTCTGTAAATTTATCCCTTCAAATTTGAATAATCAAATGAAAATTCATCACTCTGATTGTGCCATCTTCAAGTTCGTTTCCTTCACCATTTTCCCTATTATTTTCATTTTTTTTTTTATACTTAGGCGATCTTGCCCTTCATTTTATTAAGGAAAAACTTATAGAAGCTATAATGTACATTACTATATAATCTATACTAAATGATGCCCTCATTATTTTCTTTTTGGTAATTACTTTCATAATCCATTATACTTCCATCTTCATTATCTGAGTTTAAATCCTGCGAAGCAACATTATTTATTATCTATTTCCTTAAATTGTTTATCTACTAATTCTTCATTCTGATCATCGTTTGTGTTTTCTTCGGCTAAACGTTCAAAACGTAACGACGAAAAAGTCAATAGTTCCTCATTCTTATTTAAATGATGTCGACTATTATAATCATGTGAATTATGCTGCTATATCAAATTATTCCCAATTCCAATTTCTTTAATATTCATATTAAGCTTCTTAATAAACGGTTCGTCATTACTTGAAAGAATCGCTGATATGGAAATTGTGTGGTGGGAGTGAAATGAGGAAGTGGTGGTAAAGGACCTAAAGAATCGATAGAAGGCAATTCTTGCTGCCGGCCTGAAGGCGTTCTAAGGTGAAGTGTTTGGTAACACGAGTGAATCAGATGCGAATAGAGAAGGAAGACTTGACAAGTTAGTTGTAGAAGATTCGAGTAAGGTTGGAGGTATTGGGAGTTGAAATTTCTGTTGAAAAGTGTTTGGAGGTGGTTGTGGAAAAGTGACAGAAGTAGGTAGTAAAAGTCTAAGGCGCTTGGCCTGTTGATCAGGCGGTGTAATTGTGGTATCGGGAGTAGGTAGGCTTATCTCTTCTATCAATGGACGTTTTTGTGTTGGAGAATGTAAGTGATCCATTTCAAGTTGTTTGATACGAGAAAACTACAACTCTAAATGCTTAGCTTCAATTTATCCATTAACCTAAAATAGTTGAAAACTTTATAAGAACTGATTTTAACTTCTATTCTAATTAGATTTAATAGTCAGTATAATAATAAACCGAAATTTAAAGAAAATAAACATATATAAAAATTAAATAATAAATGCTTCGAGTTAAATCAACTAAATCCTCTATTTTTTTTGACCTTGTATATATATTCTAAAGGTAGTATTTATAAATTTATTATTACAATATAACCATGAATTTAACATGTTTGATTTGATTTTTTATTAGATCTTCGCTAAGCCAGATCTTGCTCAAGCATTCATTTATCGTTTCTACCTTTTGTATAATAGTTTTCCTTTTATAAACTCGTTCATCTTTGAGCATGCTTGAGCAGGATCTATAAAAAAAATTCCAAGTTTATTTGCTTCGGTTTTCACGGAATTCTTCAAAATTTGTCGGTTATGATACTTCCGAAAACACAGAGTCGAGCATTTCTTATGAAAATGTTTTACGTCTTAAACGGCTAATCTCTTACGAAAATCCGATTGTTTTGTATTGTTGGGAAAAAGTGGTTTATTTGCTTCGGTTTTCACGGAATTCTTCAAAATTTGTCGGTTATGATACTTCCGAAAACACAGAGTCGAGCAT